CAGGACTGAAAATCAGTCTCTTGGCAGTCCTTTCAGTCATGCTTTCGATGTGAATCCAGCAGTAATATATTCTTACGCCAGGTCCAGTTAACAAGAAGTCAGACAGTTAAATGTCCGTTATGCAGAAGTGGATCATAGCTTAGCGATGTTGTGGACGTGGCAGCCTGGCGGTTAGCAGACCTCAGGAGCAGAATGGCACCAGTGAAGATATAATGTTTCTAGCACCAATTCAATTCTGGAAACAGCTGAACTGCTTTGACGGGCTGGGGAACTCAGACTAATAAAGCCTGCAAACCTGAGCCAGCTCCATGCAGAGGCAGCTTGAGTTGTCTCTGCAGTGCATTTCTCAGCATGCTTGGGGCACGCATATTCTTGCGAGGGGAGGTCTGTTTTTGAAGTATCAGTCCCACGTTATCTCACACACCAGAGGTGCAACAGCTATAGCTACATTGCTGTAAGTCAGGGTTAGCTGGAGAAGAGAAGGATCTCCTTGGAATGGCTGGGGCAAAAACAAACCAGGCTGTCATTGCTGTTAGCAGCACAAGAGAGGACTTTAGATGCCTTCAGCCTAGGAGCAAAGTGGAAGTGAGGTTTTTTTCACTTGTAAAGTTCCAGAGCTCCATGGAATATTTCTGAACAGGGAAAAGAATTAAAGAAGAAAACAAAAATCACATTTGGCAGGAAATCTTGTCCTGTGCTGGGATTGTCTGTGTAACGTTGTCCTTTTTGTTTCTTTGTATATTTTCATATTTAAAAGGACAAAAAAGATCAGGAACAAAGCAGTGGTAAATGCAAGTCCCACTGAGAAGCTTACAAGAGAACTGAAGGCTGAAAATACCAAGCTATTGTCCAGGCTGGCTGGGCTCAGGAACCCAGGGACGTTAGCAGCTGATGAAACACGTATGTATTTCCGCATAAATATGGCTACAAATAACAAATAGATCTTGAGCTCCTAATACATTATCAGGAGGCCTTTTGGTAGTCTGTAACACTGAAGAAGTGTGGAAGAAATGCAGCTGAGGCATGTCTACAAGTGGTTTTTTTTTTTTACAAAATGGAGGGCAGAGAACATTTTGAAAAATGTCTGAAACAAGCCTTGTAGTTAACCTATTAGTGTATGGCAATATGCATTTGCACATTAAATTTCCACTTAAATTTTTCATTACTATGGCACCTCTTATCAGAGGTGATCAAGGAGTCTTACGAAATGTGTGCCAGTTCAAGTATTTCAAAATCACAGGTTCATGTGGGTAGAGCGTTGGAGACCTATATTCACTCTGCTCAGTCTGATAAACGTGTAGGAGCACACTTGTGATTGTGCCACACCACCCCTATCTGGAGTCCCCTCTTAGGACTCCATCTGCTCCTGATATGAGGCATGTCAGAGCCAAGAAAACTGGGAACCTTGTCCCGGATGAACGGATGGTCTCTCCTTACCAATGGGCTCCCAGCTGGCTAGCTCACACTCTATTTATTTAGCGAGCGTAACAGCGTTGCTGTGTTTCTACCTGTAGATATGAGAGTAGCAGTTGATAGTTTATGGTTTGGGATGTTTTTTAGTTATTCAGACACTATGAGAACAGATACTGTTTTTAAAAACCGTTTTTAAAAAACGGTTTTAAAAAGCGTTTTTAAAAACTTTGCCTTTGAGTATCAGTCCCTATACACATGGGCACAGCCAGTTGCTCAAAGTCGGACCCTGAATAATATTTCATCTTTAAAAGAAAGGAATATTACAAAAAGACAGACATCAGAGCTGAAGGAAGAGATGGGAGCGTTTGCGATTGATTAGTAGTTTGCAAACTCCTTTAAAGAGAATTCAGCCGAGTTGGTTCCCAGGCACGCTTTGCAGGCAGAGTATTTTACAGTGATCACCGCTTGGTTAGAGGAAGACAAGGAAGATGTCGGCTTTCGTTTTCAGTTCTGGATGGTGACTGCAGCAACAAATATCTCAGCTATTCAGCAGCAGGGTTGGTTTGTGTCCCTGAATGCTGCATAGCCCCCACGAGTAGCAGGTAGGACGTGCTTGCTCTGCAAGAGGCCAGGACATCTACCAGCACATGGTCCCCCTTGCTGGCAGTCCTTGTCTCTTACAGGGGTTTTGCTATTTCGCATGTACATACCTTGGTTAAAGGTCTCTCTCTGCTCAGAAGAACTGCGTTATTTGCTGGCTGAAAAGGAGCAGGGGATTCAGAGCGTTCAGGTGACATGGGAGTCTCGGCTGCAGGCAGCCCGGGAGGAGTGGGAGCAGCAGTACGCTGCAATCGCTCAGGTGAGTTTTCCGGGAATGCACGTTGCAAGCTGCGGATCAATTGCAGATGTTTTCATCTATGGTCTTTTAATGACAATGGCCCTTCTTGTTGTCTTTAAGATTCATTGCTCACGTACCTTTCTGCCCACAACGTCCTGACAAGACTCTCCAGATGCTTTTAAGCTGGAGCAAAGCCATGTATTATACTGTATTAAGGGTCTGCAATATAATATCAAATATCTCATGAGCTTATGTAACAGAATCTTCTGTCTGTTTCTACCACTGATGTACGTTACCGTTTCTTGATTTTTATTGTGTGGTTATAAGGAATTATTACTGAATAAAAGATGCGAGTGAATGTACCGAGCTATGTCAGGGCAGCTCAGACTTGCCATTTTCAAGTCCTTGACAGAGAGAAGCAAAGATTTTCACTTCCAAATCAGTCATGAGATAAACACGCTCAAACTTGGGGCAGACAAATATTCTTTGACCTTTCCAGTTTCTCTTCAAGAATCATTTCCGCTGTGTTGCCAATGATAATGGTCAAATAGATGCCAAGTTTGCAACTATCATATTCGTTTTATCCTAAGGGTAGACTTGCATATTTAAAAGCGTTTACCTCTGTGCACAGGTAGCTTGCATAAATAAAGCTGTTCAAGGAATCGTTTCCTGTGTCCTTCAGCCACTCCTGCCGCTTGTGTTATTATTGCTGCATACTGTACTTTGTCGCAGACTTAGCTGTGTGGAGCAAAGTCTCTGAGTGCTCGTACTGTGCCTCCTTCCCTGGGATCCTTGTCCTGACAAAGCTGTTGATTTTTGCTATAACGCAAATGAATAGTGCGTGCGGGTCAGTTTTTTTGCGGAAAGTAGGTCTGGGGATAACTCCAAAATATTTTTTTGTTTGTTTTAATATTTTGTTGCTTGAAGTAAAACTGAACCAATGAAAGACCACAAAGCTTACACAACTTAAGGAGCTTCACGTGCAAAATTGAATGCATGCATTTTATTAATCTCACTAAAGGTGAAGTGGGGGCTGAACACCATCCTAAGCTGAGTGAGCTGCAATTGTAACTGAAACATTAAACCAAGCCTTTTTTCACTGAATTTTTTTCACTTCATGGTCAGAGTTCCCATGCGTTTCTAATAAAAGTGTTTCAGGACTTGGAGACTGCGTACATGCATCCAACATCTCTTGTTGAGTGTTTGGCATTTGGGTTTTTTTCAGGATGTTCTTGTACAAGCTGCTTTATGGTGGTGATGTTTCTTGTACGAAAAAGACCTGTATGAATATTATTAGCTGTTATTTCAGGCTTTCAAATGTATCCCGCTAAAATAACTAATTTCTGAATTGTTACTCAGGAGAGACAGATGATGGAAACATTCCCTTATCTCTTGAATATCAACGAAGACCCCCAGCTTTCATGGGTTCTCAAGCACTTCATTCAGGATGGTAGTATTTTTTTCTTTTTTTAGTCCTGAATACAATATATGAATACTACTTTCTGTATCTTAACACTGACATAACAGCGATGTTGTAGTACTACATTGCTCAGACGCTTGAGTCACTATTTTCTTCTTTTTTTCTGTAAGTTCTTACCTACTTTTTCCCCCATCAACTTGGGCTCCTTTGGTTTGAGAACAGAGCAGACCAGAGAATTATACTTTGAGAAGTGTTTCTACTGCAAGAGATGTTAAGAGACAATAGGAAAATAAGTCATAAGAAATATCCAGGTCTACTGGATGTCAAAGTCACTTCTTCTCCAGAAAACTAATGATCTGAAAAGGTGAACTTTCGTTTTGCAAGCTGACTAGAGCTTGCAAAAGACTAGACTTGAGCTGCAGTTAACAGAAATGGGACCAGATATTTGTAGATCTGCACATGCGATAATTACACTGGATATTTTTCTGCCGTCTTTTTGACAATAACGAATCACAGGGATTTCTAGGGGTTCCCAGATGCCTCTGTAATTATTTGTGTGTGCAGTACCAGCAGTCGCATAAAGCAAACCCTTTATGTACTTCAGGATCCGGGACCTTGTGTCTAGAGACAGATAATTTAGTATACTGTCATTTTTTAGTTGCAGCGCTAATATGAAAGGTTTGTGCTGAGCAAAGCTCTTCAAATTGATGCAAAAGAGAAAAGGTAACTGAAACTGAACCACAGGAAGTTCCATCTGAACCTGAGAAAAAACTTCTTCACTGTGAGGGTGACAGAGCATTGGAACAGGTTGCCCAGAGAGGTGATGGAGTCTCCTTCCCTGGAGATATTCAAAACCCGTCTGGACGTGATCCTGGGAAATAAGCTCTAGAGGACCCTGCTTGAGCAGGGAGGTTGGACTAGATGATCTCCAGAGGTCCCATCCAACCTAAACAATTCTGTAATTCTGTAAAACTGAATGGTAAAACTGAATATCTTCATCATCACATACCTGTTGTTTAGAGCACGTGTAATTTATACTGAAATCTTCATTTTTTTTCTAGGTTCTTCCGAGGTTGGTCAATCAACCTCAAATGCAATAATCCTAAGAGGTTTGGGGTAAGTACATTAATCTAAGGAAAGCTAGACACCTATGTTCTTGATTCTCTTGCTGTTTGGACTTAATTTTTTTAAGTTGTTTTTAATGTAAAGAATTGTACTACTCTGCATAAGCATGGGTTATAGTTATTTTGAACTTTTTATGAGGGCTGGTAAGGGACAGGTTAGAAAGGATAATTGATGAGTTTCTTATGTTTCTAGAAACTGCCATTTTTGTAATGGTAAACACGTGAAGTTAAATGGCAACTCTGAGTTAAAAGTCCAGCTGCCTCTTGGGTGGCAAGCTAGATTTATTATCTTCCAATTTACGATATCCTTTTCTGTGATGATTTTCTAATTTAAAAAAAAAATGATTCACAAGAAAATTTATATCTTTCAGCATTTTGGACAAACACGCTACATTTACAAATGCTGATGGCAAAGTTACCTTAACACCACACGATAAGTGCAAAGCCATTGTGAATGGTGCGCCCATCACAGGGAAAACAAAGCTACAGCACTTGGTGAGTGTTTTCTTAGGACATAAAACCAAAGTCTGAAATAAAAATTCAGAAAACAAAAAAGCCTGAGCATAACAAAGAACTTAGAATGATTCCTACTCACCACATCCTGAGAGAGGATCTTACATGTAAGGAAGGTGAATTTTATATACACGTCCTCTCCTGCTCTCAAGCCCACTCCATAATCACTTCTCTTTGCAATTTTACCTGCTCAAGAAGAGGTCAGGAGCACTTTGCTCTTCTGTGACGCTTGACGTGTCACCTGCATGAATTTGGCAGCAACCTTTGTTTAACCCTTCAGGATCGTGTTATTCTGGGATCAAACAGCGCTTTCCTGTATGTTGGGCCACCTGCAGAACGAACAGATGAAGACCTGAGCAGATACGATTATGATTTCTTTCAGTCAGAGTTGGCAGCGGCAGAAGGTTTTAGTGTAGATGACCTTGGTAAGTGTTATTGTTTGTGTATTGGGTAACATTCTTCAGTGGTGGCTGATGTTTCGTCACACCCTGGATCATTTGCGGACGACTTCATAAGCTGTGTTTTCCTTTTGCTATTAGCACGTTGTTCTTGCAGCAGGCTGGAGGCTGTGCAGTGCCTTATGAGAAGGCAGCCAGGAATCACGACAAGTTCATTTTACCTACCTAAAACATACTATAGCAGTCTATAGTATAATATGTCTATAGAAAAAGACAATGAGTTTCAATTTTGGGGACGTTTTTTATGAATTCACATGTTGTTTCATGAAACCAATGACTTTTCTTGAAACTGGCACGTGTTTGGGGTTATTTATGGTGTTATGCTCACAAACAGTAAAGTGTGTGTTTGTATTATGTCTCAGAATGAGCTGATTGACAGCTGTGATTCTGGCAAATTGTTCCGGATTTTATTTCAAACAGACCAGATTCTTATCAACATTTCACTTGGTTTTCCTTTAGTGCTAGAATTGCTTGTTTTATTTAAAAAAAGGGAGCAGTACTTATAAGCTGCATTTGAGAAATGACATCAGATTACTTTTAATAATACATAAACACTCCAACTGAGAAGGTCACATGAGATGGCACGCTGAGCAGTGCACATCAACAGTACAGGATGCCACAGCATGTTTTATTGCCTGAATATCTTCTCCCAGAGAAGTCTCTGGTGGGCAGAATCAGCCCAATGTGTGCTCAAATATGCTTTCCCTTTGTTTCACAGTCCCTCTAGCAGCTATCTATGTTGGTTTTGTTAATGTGGTCATATTAGGTAATAGTGGTACAAAATATCATGATAGGTATTCTTTTGCTGTCATCCAAAATATTCCCATTGCTCCTCTAAAATTTGCTCCTTTTTTTCCTCCCATTTTTTCATCTGCTTGTATTTTTTTCATTATATGTTGGAGAAACGCTACCCTCCAATGCAGGAAATGCTACCCCCCAGTAAAGTGAGGGTTTTGTAGTTCACTTTTCTACCGGCTGTTTTAACCTGTTCAGTCCAGAGGGCGAGATGTTTAGTTTGTGAATATAAAATAGACAGTCCAAAGGTCCTGTGAATATTTGCTGCAGGTCTTTTGCATTCAGATGCTCATCATTCTTAAAGAATTCGGGTTTGTGTGTGCTGGTTTTTTAAATCCTGTTCTAATCTGCCAGGTTGTTTTGAGTTACTAAATGGTTCTTCCATTTTGTGTTTCAAATTGCTCCATTTCTATAGAAACATGCAGTAATTATACACAGCTGGAGAGCTATTAGTGTGATCACACCCCTGATTTCAGGCATTTGACTGAGGTGCAGTTGAGCACCTGCGATCAGAGCCCTTGCATCCTTACGATGGTCTCTGGGATGGGTGAGGGCACGCAAGGACTTCGCTTAGATGCCTAAAACTTAATGGCATGAGCATCACTCCTGCAGTGAGAGATGCAGTGAGTATGCGCCTGAGCACTGCCGTGCAACTAGCTACCACGATATCCCCGATGCACGTTCTCCATCTTTTCCAAAAAAGTAATGAGGTAGTGATGCTCTAAAAAAATAAATCTGCACCGTAACACCACCAAACCAGGGGGAGCTTGCAACTGCTCCTCAGCTGCATAACCAGCTGCTGTAGGTCTTCAGAACGGGCTGAGCCAGTTCTCCAAATATACCCAGCTGCTTGTCTTTAAAATCCAGGTGTTGGTCTGCGTTTTTCAGTTTAGGTCTGCAGGACCCGAATTCCTTAAAAAAAAAAAAAAAAAAAAAAAAAAAAGAACAAAAGACCCAGACAATTAATGACTGAACAGTGAAATTCTGTTCTAAACAGCACTGGCTGCAGCGACCTCTGAGGTCAACTGAATCCTGCAGCAGTTTGGGGAAAACTCTTCCTGCACTGGGCAGGACGGAAGCGGTTTTCTGAAGTCCAGTTACTTTCTAGTATGAGCAACTAATCAGTCCAGCGTTGAAAAAGGCTGAAACAGGTTGTTGTGAGCCAAGCACGTGTCTCGGCTGTAGCTGTTGTTCCTCTCGCTTGTGGGCGTTGCGTGGCGCGTGCAGGTTCGGCACTAACCGCGCAGCTCTGCGTCCTAGAAATGACGTGGCCGCGTACGCTGGCAAGGCGGCTATTTTAAAGGCGGTTGGTAGGAGGAAGGTAGCATGGGCTAGAAGTATTAAATTGTATTTTGGCAGTCCGAAAGGAACTCCTTAAAACTACCCAAAAGTTAGACTGCAGTTTCTCCCTTTGTATACCCTCTAACGCAGCCTTTCTAACAGGTGCTGCCGGCAGTAAGGACAGCAGAGCCGATCCCGGCGTCCTTGCCGTTTTCCATGATTATATCAAGCTCATGCCACTGGTAGCTGAAGTGAATCAGATGAGCGAGGAGCTGAAGAAGGTAGGTAATGCCTCTGCCCCAACTCCTGCAGGTTAAACCTGGTTAGTAAGTGTTTCAAGATGAACAAAAATAACTGTAAAAGTCTTTTTCCCCTGTACTCTTGCCCTTACTGTTGCTCCATTCCTTTTGCTCTTCCCAGTCTTCCTCAGCACCTGACAGGCAGAGAAAAGAGGAAATGTGGTGTGAACAGTCTCCCTTTTGTGCAGCTCTTCCTTTTTGAGGGTGTTAAGTAAATTTTCAGTAGACAGAATTTGGGAGCATAGATTGCAGGCAGCAGCATATCAGAGCAGTTGTTCTGTATAAATATGCAAACAACATCTACCCAAGTGTTTCAGAGGAAGGTTGAAAAGTCCCAAGAAGATAAATTCTTCTTCACAGTCGCTCCATAAGATAAGGATAATGAGATTAATTCAAAGGAAAATGTAGACAGACTATAATAATTTCCCAGCATTTAAATTAACTAACTTCTGAGAAGTTTCCTAAAGGAAAGCAGAAATAAACTGAACATTATAAAGATTCTTCCTTCTCTCAGCATCTTGATGGAGCTATAGGTGGTGTGCAACTGGCACACCTCAAATGCGGGAATTATGATGCTCCAGCTGGTAAGGCTGTATTGGCCCTTACTCTCTCAATAGGTTCTGTGACACATTCCCCAACTTTTTTAATGCTGTGTTCATCCCAAAAGTCGAAATAGCCCCATTTCCAGAATTCAGTAGCACAACAGATGCCTGCCATACTGGTACATCTCCATTCATAGCAATTCGTAGATCTAGAAATGTTGTTGCCTTCTCTGCTGGTTTCTACCTCCTGGTTAAAGGGAGAAGCAAATTTCTTGCATCTGAATGTCAGCAGCTAGGAGGGGATATACATCGGTACAGAAAGCACTGGATGAGGAGCAGGGACAATGCGTAAAGAACCTATTTGCTAACTTCCTTGCAAAAAAATTCCCAGTGGTCTATAATGAGCAGAAAAATGTTGTATTAATGTAAGAACACAATTAATATAGGATCAGTAGCCTTCTGAAAGAGCATTGGAAATTTAGTGTTGTCTGCTTGTCTAAAGACTCATCTGACCTCTTTGTATACTACATAAGAATGGGAAATCCCAGGCTCTCAGAGTACTACGTCAATACAGCGACAATGAGGGAAGTTAAGGAAGCCTCATTCTAGGTGCGTTTCCAAAATTTGAAATACTGGGGATGTCAAATTCGAGACGTTGCAGAAAGATTATTGTGAGAATTTACTCTATGAACAGTATCATATACAACTAAAAGTATTCCCAGCTTATTCAGCAAAACGTGTCCTGGCTGTTAATGTGTTTGAGAAACCTTTTGACTTAATAGGACCTCAAGTTTGAACTGAAGGTGAAAAATCTAGCCTCAACAGACTCCAGAGGATATGACCTACAAAAGGAAATAATGGTAAAAGTGACACATGCAACTACTAATCAGGTAAGAAGGCCGAACCTGAATCAGCTCACGTTTTAAGAGGAGGTTGTAGGAGAAAATAAGAAAGGTGCAGGGGATGCGCTCATCCTCAAGGTGCACACGTGGAACCCTTGCAATTGCTGTCTCTGTGACGTGTCCTAACAACACTACACCCCTTTTTTGCCCTTCCACTCTCTTTGATGCGTTTTTAATGTGCTGCCATACATGAAGTACCACCCTCCCACTCCTGTATCTGTTCGTTTCGTAAAAAGAGTCCACGTACTGCCTGTAGCCGTTCTCCTGGAAAAAATGGCTTGTGCCTGCTTGCAGGAGATCCTCGAGGTGTGCTATTTCTGCGCCTAAAAGAACTGAATCTGCCTCGTCATTTCAGTGTACCATTAGCCACCCTGAGGTATTTTCTCTTTCTGTTCCTGTATTTTGCAACAGAGATGCTCCTGGTGAACTAACGCAGGAGGATTTGATATAAAATTCTCCTTAGAAGGTGTCTAAGTGCAGGGAGGGATGGTCAGAGACCTTCACGCTAAGGTTCGTTTTTTGCTGAGATTTTACTGATGGGTCCCTGGGCTCACTATAGCACGAGATCAGTTTCATCAGTGCTAAAAACGCTCCGTCACTGAAACCTTCTTCACTTGCAGCTGATCATGGGCTGCTTAGCAGCAAAGCTTCACCTTTTAAATAATGAAGGAGAGAACTTGCTAGCTCCCTTTCAAAAAGACAGACTTTTTCAACTATTTGTCTGTTACCAGTTTATTTGGAATCTTTAGGAGAGCCACCGTTGGGTAAAGAAAAGCAATTTTACATTTTCACTTCAGATATTTAATAGTTCTGGTTTAGACACGCTCTAAATTGTGACTGTAAGCTGTCAGTTTACAGGAACATTTTATAATGTACTTTATCCTCATTTTGGTTTAGTGTATTTGCCGCAAATGATGTCCGTTAGTCTTTCAAACCATTGTGGCTGCAACATACAATGCCATTTTTTTTGTTAAAAGATTTCCATTTCCTCTTTGTGTTGTTCAAGTATTGGCATGGACAATGCGTTGATAGTAGATAGATGTTGTGTGCTGTTTAAAAATAGAGAAACTAGAAACATGAGAGGGAGCCTTGAGACGTAAGCCAAACGATTTATTTAGATTTTTTCAGTGGTATTTTCTCTGCTGCTGGTTGTAAGAATGAGTTATATTGAAGCTGTGAACAGGAAAAATAAGATTTAGGAAAGAGATTTTTTTTTTTTAATGCAGAAGAAAGATGTCAGCAAACAATACTGGACTGGGAGAAAATGAACATGAGAAGTAGTCAGTTCTGTTTTAATAAATGCTTAAAATCTCCACTCTGCCAGATAAATGATCTTTTATTGGAGCACAGACTTACGCCTCACACTTCTTTATTGTAAATGAATGCTCCAAACAGTGGTCTGTAAAATAAATCTCTTTCCTTTCCTCCGTGCTTCAGTGTTTGTATAAACTTTGAGATCGCTTGGTCAGAAGAACAATTTATCCTATGTTTTAAGTATGAAATTCTAAGAGCTGCCGATTACTTCAGTCGGTATGAAAGGCTGAAGGAACTGAGTTTTGTTTGCTCTAGAGAAGAGGTGACCAAGTCTTCCTGTGCATTAAAGACTGTTGCAAAGAGGATGATGATCAATGAGTCTCCATAGCCCCACAAGGAACACTAGAATAGTCTTCCTTTGGCAAAAAGGAGGCTAGATATTAAAATGAAAATACAGTTCTTCAGCAGGTTACGTAGCACAAACTAGACCAATTCATTTCATCACTTCTCCTCTGCTTCCCTAGGTGTGGGTATGGTCAAAGGCCAAGTTCATAAATAGGAAGTTTCTAATGGAAGAGCTTTACCAGCGTTTTCAGGAAGGCGAGGACACCCACGTGAACCAGGACAGCGATCCATTCTGGGACCCGGTGGAGGTTGTTCACTTGGGGTCTGCTCACGTCTGGCTTCAGTCGCTGGCGTACTGCGTGCAGCTGGAGGAGCAGACTGAGCTTCTGAATTCGGAGGGGCTGGAGGAGGCTGTTGTGCTAATAAACCTATCTCCGTGCTCCAGGGACGGGAGGTAAATGTTCACCACCTCTGTACTGGAGAGCTGTTGGTTGTCATTTTTTAAAGGAATTCAGGAAGTTTGCTTGTTGAAATGCTTGATTGGAAATGAAGGCTGGAAATGCTGAGCAACATGTGAAAAAGGGAGATAGAGATCTTGCTGGTGTAACTGGGAGGAGAAATCAGCTCCAGCACCGCTAGATGAGACCCATAAGCAGTCAGTCCTGATTCCTGCCTTTGCTGAAGTGCTTCGCAGAGCCCCAGGAACTGTATTTTTCAAGCTGTCAGCCTAGTTGAATGAACAGCTCTGGCAAACCGCTTTTATCTTTCCCTGCCCCCTGATGGAGTTGGCACCTTGGAAGGGAGTAATGGGCCCGAGGTGGGCAGTCCTCCTCCTGCAGTTTCTGGAGGAGGTTTCTGATGTGCAAGTAGCTTCTGCTCCTGTTGCTTGGTCTCTTTCTTCATAACTAAACATCTCTGTAAGGTTGGGACAGTACAGTAAGTTTCTCTTAGTTGCTGTCAACACAGAAGCTCACTAGTTTGACGAAGAAAGCAATTATATATGTAACAAAATAAATTCAGTGTAGTCCTTCTCTATTTTGAATGATTTCTGTCTCCCTGTTGTCTCTCTGGACTCCATTCTTCTTTATTTTTTGACCTTTTCTATGGGCATCTTTCTGTCTTCCTCCCTACATCTTGTTTTTCTCTCTGAGGCACTGCTGCTTTCACTCTAGTAACATCTGATAGTGAAGGTTACCAGGCTTCCATCCTAATTTTGCTGTCTTGAAGTTCTGCAGCGAAGAAAAGCGGACCAGCTTTATAAAACTCATGTTCCGTTTGCCAATAATTATTAATTATCAAAATATGCATGTCATGTAAAAGCAGCTCTCCTCTCCAGCCCCAGTCTGCACTCCTCATTTATGTTGTTGTCCTGCTTTGTGGTTGGTTGGGGACCTGAGTCAAATACGTTGTGCTGTTCTTTCTGCATTTGTAGAATCCTTGGGGAAGACGATACGGTCATCGATCCTTTGGAGTTGCTGGGAAGAAGGGTTGATTTCCAGATTCACATCGCAGAGTGCCTTGGAGTCAAATGGCTGCAAGATGCTGTGGGAAGAGGCATTCAGATAGGGTACTGTGGTGCAGCCGTTCCCTGTCTCGCCAGAATACTCCCAGCTTGTGTTTCTGGTTAAATCGAGAGCAGTTTTAGCATTACCCCTGTGGAAGTCGTAAGACCGCCTAAACCATTATCTGTTTTGCCTGTGTCTTTAAGCTATAGCAAGAATTTAACTTTGAATCTTTGGTGCTATAGGAGATATGCAGTGTCCTCCCACAAATATTACTGCGATTTTTAAAGCTCTGGGTTGAGCAAGGATATTCATGAATTCATTTGCTCTCCACAAAGGTGTGGGGGATGGAAGGAGTCTGAGAAAAGTCCCATGGACTAGTAAATGAGCAGAAAGCTCTAATTCTCAGAATAAAAATAGAGTTATAAGTAATTTAAAGCTGTTTGTGCAAGTGCAGTTTTGACAGCATGCCAAACTGCTGTTGTCAGTGGAATAAATACTACAAATTAATAAAGCACAGTAATATTTTCACATATCATGTGTGTGCTATGGGACTGCATAAGGCATTTTATTGAGCAGGAGAGAACAGCTGACCTTGAAACGCCACAGTAATTGTTTTTGCTCACCTTTTGTGTCTGTTTAAATAGCACTTTCAGAAAGTGAATTGGCTTTTAATTAATTTTTTATGCTTATATTTTATCTCTTTAGGTATAGAGTTTATGATCTTCCACGGTTCTTATACACAAAGCCTGCCTGGAAAAATGTGAATCCAAAGATAGAAGAAACAGTCCACTTCTCAGCTCTAAATGCATCCTATGAATTTTTGAATTATTTACAGGAAAATGCTTTAATTGTTGATTTGTGGGGACTTCAAGGTATTTCTCTCCATGATTTTATATTTCATAGTCCTCTTCAGTGATGGGTTGTAGCTAGAATCAAACTATATTGCTGCATCATTATAGATATAAAGCTGTTTGCCTGTAGGATGAGCCTTGAGTAGCCTAGTTGTTCAAACTCTTCAGTACAACATTAATTCCGTATGTGAAAAATGAATCAGTGGCTTCCTGGTATGATTTTTTAAATGAAGATGTTAGCCTAAGCCTCACAGAGCTCTACATCACTTGATGCTAAAAGCAGGCTCTGTGGAAAAAGTTTTGCTTTATTTTCAGACAGCGTATTGAATGTGCTGGTCGGTACTTCAAAAGCATTGCTGCGGGAAGGCCCAACGCAGCCCCGTAAGGGACAGCAACACTACCCCATCCATTTAATGGGGGGGGGAGGGGGTAGGAACTGAAGAACAGAGAGGTTGGGTAATTTGGCCCAAAGACACAAATCAAGTCACTGGCAAGTGCAAGAAACCTGTGTGCAGGCTGCGCTATGATTTGGCCATAACCAGGTGGTGATGGTGAAGGAAATGGGGAATGGGGTGGTGGCCCCCAGCAGCACTCTGCGCCCGTCTGCAGGGAGCGCCGGGGCAGCCGTGTAGGCAGCCCCTCTGGTAGCCGGCCCCGGTGCGCTGCTGAGGGCCACCACCAGCTTAGTCTTGGCTACCCTCTTTCCTGGTCCTTCTGCTCCTCCTCCTTGCGTGACAAGCATCTCAGTGGGGGCTGCTGGGGTCACCCTGGGCGCTCGAGGCCTCGGGACTCAGGAGCTGCTGCTGGCGCTGTGCATGGAGCTGGTGCCCGTGCCCACACGGGAGCCGTGATGGTGTGGCTTGTGGGGATCCACAGCATGCAGCCCCCTGGAAAGAGGGTGTAAGCTGAGCGGCTTGAGAGTTTGCCCTGCCACTGGTTAGAGACCTCTCTTCGCTCTTTGCTTTATTTTCCCTCCCTCCCTAAGTTACACAGGTACCAGTAGGTTACCACGGTTCGCGTTAGCAATACATGCTAGACCGTTGAATGCCCTGGTCACAGAAGTTAATCACAGTAGCGTATGGTGCGCGTGTAAATATCTCTGCGTGATGGACTTCTTGCAGTTGCTGGGAACTATTCAGCGGACTCAAAAAAAAATCCTTTCATTTTTCAGCTCTAGGTGTGGGCGTAATATATGAAAAAATGTGGTTTGTCTCTGGTACTGTTCACAATGCAGTCTGCAAAAAAGGCAACTACTGTTTCTGATTGTCAGCTTTATGTGGCAATTCAGTAGGAAGGAATCACCAGGTCTTTGGCAGTCAGGGTGGTCCAGACTGTGCCAGGACAAGACTGTAATCCATGTGTTTGCTGTCACCTGAGGCTTCACATTAACATTTGGCAGCATCTGAGGTCCTATGGAGCTCCTTCAGTGGCAAACAGGATGCAAGGCCAAAATGTAAGAGAGAAGCATGAAAATCTGTGATACATCGCTATATCTACGTACAATACGGGTATCTAGTTGGAAAAGTGAATTTGATGAGTAGAATAGGAGCTCCTTTTCAGGATAAACTTTAGAAATGTGGGGATTTGTAAGAATGGTGTTGTCAGAATTAAAATCGCCATATAATATTCTCCCAGTAATTTGTTAATTTAGCTGTTACAGTTAATTGCTGTGACTATTTTCAGAAAATAAGAAAGCACACATTTGCAATGATGAGATTCATTATACAAATACTGCATTTGGTTGAAGTTACAAGGAAAAAGCTATTATTTCTGTCACGAATGAGGAGTTTTGGAAAGAGATGGTGTTTATTGCTGCTTTAAATATTGGAGACAGCATACAATAAGGGCACCAACAACGCAGAATGTGATGGCAGGTTCCTAACCACGCTGTCTTTGCTCTGCTGCAGAAGGTTGCACAGCGATGGACTGCTCCCTAGACGGTCTGCTGCTCACACCTGAGGGCACCATTATCGTTGACAATCCTAAAGCTTTGACTGCAAATGATGTTGGCCTGGTAAGTGCACTTATATTATTGATACGGCATTCTGGAAAAACACCTGATTTTAATGGGACTATATTGTGGCCAAAGGTTGCAGGAAGGTGTCTAATTAAGCACAGCACTTTGTATGAGCCCAAAAGCTCCCTGTGTACTGCACTGAAACGCTATCATGGATGACAGGGCCTGTCAGGTGCTAAGAGTTGTACTGCCCAGCTGCAGGAGGCACGTGGTGAGCTGTGGCACTGCAGAACTGCTTCATATACAGTTGCTGGAGCACCACAGTCGGGTACTGGGGGTTCTAACCAGTTCTTGACCTTGCCAGCTTATTTAACTACATCAGAAATTAAAAGATTATGAGAGAAATCAAAGCAATTAAATAGAAACTTTTATAGTTCTGTGTGTGTGTGTGTGTGTGTGTGTGTGTGTGTGTGCGTGCGTGCGTGCGTGCGTGTATTCACACACACACACACACACACACACACACGCACACACATACATCTAGAGAGAGAGCATTAAGCAAAATGTTTGCCCCTGGTAATTGGAGAAATTCTTTTGCCACTTTTGCTAATGAAGTATGATGGTAACAGGCCAGCAAACATTGGCCGCTGGGGCAATAGTAAACCCATATTTGTGTGTTTAAAGCACTAATGAAACTGAAGGAAAAAAATGTCCTTCTGAAGCCTCAGAAAAATTTTTCAAAATTCCAGCATCATGAAGAATGTAATAGCTCTGCTATTCCATTAAAAACATCCCTTTACAGTTGTTTTTTTGCTAGACAGGAAGCAGTAAGGAACTGAGGACAATAATCTGAACTGGATTTTTTTTTTTGAAATAGGATCCAGCTAACCACGTGTCCGAACTGTACAGGAAACTGCTGCAGATGGAAGAAGAGACTGAACTGCTGAGAGAGATCAACAGAGCTTTAAGAGAAGACAATTTGCTTCTTAAGGACAAGCTAAAGAAGTGGGACACAAGCCACCATGAAAGTCTGTGCCTGTCACAAGTGTCTATTTCATGCTTTTGCTAGAGTTCTCTCATTTACCCGTAGTGCCTCAGGAGGCAGGCTGTAGAGAGCTGGCTTATATCCCACTGATTTTTTTTTCCCAGCTGACAAAGGGAATAAGACTATCAATCACTTACTTTCAATGGCAGTAAATTCAGGATTAATTTTTTTGTTTACCAGTTTGAACTTTATTTTATTAATAAAAATATCTTGCATTTTAGCGATGCAATCAGAGTCACCCACCAAGACAATTAGGATGACGAAACAGTCTCTGTCACTGAGAGGAACTGAGGCGATGCACAGTCCTCGGACCAGCTGCGATGCGGAATTTGCTAAGGCCCTTAAAATCTTCTATCAAAACATGAACATAGTCAGACAGCAAGTCCTTCAGTTGAAGCACTCCAGGCCACCGGTACGTAAGCCTCCCACAGCGTTTTAAACACAGGAGGCACCTTTCTGATTCCAAGAAATTTTGTGCTAGTTTTAGCAATCTGAAAATGGAGGTATCATTGGTTTTGTCTCTTTCTTGCTACATTTTTTTTTTTTGGTCCTGGAGTGAGATGCCTTGTTTCCATGCATTTTGTACAGCACCCAAGGTGCTGTTAAGGCCTGCAGACTAGGTAGTCTGATATGCTGGTTGTAACACTAAAAAAAGTTGAGCATGGTCAGCACAAAGGCAAGCTTCTCTACAGAAATGTTTGCCTGTTGGAAAAGGAATACTTTACTTTAACCAGGCCTGTTGAAAGAAACAGTATTTAGCTGGGTGTCAACTTAGCGCTTGTAAGAAGTTGACTTGCCAGCACCTTCATATATTTGCTTTCCAGGATGGGTTTTTTTTTTGCATTTGTTTTTTAATTTATGTAAGCCCTTATTTCAGGCTCTGACAAATTTAAGTAAGTCAAAAAATGAAGCTTCAGCACATGTGTGCACACACACATGGTCAGCTTCTTCAGCAGCATGATGCAAACCAACTTTTAGACTGTGAGCGACTCAATATTCAGTAAGTCTCCTTGCCTGCTTAGAAAATGAGACACTGTTTTTCTGAAGCTCATCAGGAGTGGGGAATGCACATCAAAAATATGTTGCCAAATGGCACAAACAAACAGTTGAGGCTAGTTATGAAGCTAACATATGGTAGCCCACCTGTGGCTCTTAAGCCTTATGCAGCTTGTGTCCTGCTTAATTCCTACAGCTGTTCCTGCAGGAGAGCAAGTGCTGCAACTTATTTGGCCAGGAGAAAAAGCAGTGCTTGGTTTCCAAGCACATCATTCCAGCTGTCATGTGCTAATTTGCTGTGGCAACAGAACATGCTACTATGATCCTAATTTTAGTTTATGAGGTTGTGGCTTGTTCTGTTAGTTCCCTCCCCTTTTACTCAGTTACCACCTTAGTTAACCTGCAAGACCATCAGGTAGTCTTTGCTGTATAAACAAAAAAATGGTATGCACGTTGATCCTAACTCATTCCCTTTATTATGTTTTAGCAGGAAGATAATCTGCAGGTACTACGTCTTTTTACAGAGAGACAGTCACAGCTGATAAACAATTTTGGGAAACAATTTGAGTCTACCATTTGCAAGCTTAAAAGTGACGTAGCTGTTATAGTTAAGAAGAAGCGGGGAATGTACAGCACATAGCAGATCTTGAGGAGCCACTTCTAAGAACACATCTGAGTACAGGTGAGTTTTGTTTGTCATTAAATTCTGTAATGAGCACAGTATAGACGACATACTCAAAGCAAATGTTTTGCCCACTCCCTTAGCATATTTGTTTACCATGCATCAGTCCACTTAAAAAAAAAAACAAACATTAATTATATCTGATTCGGGCTAAGACGATTAAAAAACAAATTTTTCGTATTTCTGAAATGCCTACTCTGTAACAGTGCTCTATTACATCTTAGCAAGCTGCAAGGGCAAGTTATCAGAACTGTTCTGACAATATATATGTGTGTGTGTGTGTGTATATATATGTGTGTGTGTGTTGTTTTTTTTTTTTGCTAGGTGAGTTATTGTCCAACCACATTACAAAGGGCCACATATAGACTTAGCAAGAAGTAATTTAATCTTTACAAACAAGTGTGGAGCTTGCTTTAGCACAGTTCAGAACTTGAAATAGCTAAACTTCATATATACTACCTTAACACGTCTGCTACTTGAAACAGTTAAACTGCAACTGTGTGTGTTTTCTCGATGCTGCCTTGCACATTGAACCTAATCTACTAGAATGACTTGTTCCCTTTACAGGATGAAACCTCACTGGGTCTTCAGCTAGCCCTATATTACAGTAAGGTCATACTGACAAGCCCCACCCTCTGTGTCTTCTCTCTCTCTCTCTCTCTCTTTTCTTTTTTTAAGTACAGCTCACTGGAGGAAAACGAGTATGGCTGAAAGTCAACAAACTAAGACAGCAGTGCAGTCAGCTGATCTTTAAACTAACCTGGGGGGGAGGAGGGGGAAGACTCCTTAAACTCTTAGAAATTAAAACTATGCTTTTGTTTCACTATGGATACTAAAGCTTTAAAAATAAGAACATGACAGTTAAGTAATAGTGCCTATCCCAAACAGGCACGGAGAGTAACTGCTAAGGCACTTGTTAGGGCCTGCTTGCTTTAAATATTTGGGGGTGGGGGGGAAAGGCTGTGGTTAACTGTCAAGTAGATTCTCTAGTGGTTGCATTAGTAATTCTAAACTTATGCTGCTGCTCTGCAACTTCAGCTGAAAGGTATTAAGCAAAATTCTGGAACTAATACTAAGTCAGTGATTAATCAGGTATGTTCATGAATTAAAACTCAGTACCCTTTATGGGTTGTCTCACTATAGCAACTACTATTATTCTTAACTCAATTTTTTCCCCATGTCTGCTGTAACCAACAGTACAGTTAAACTCATTATCTTATGATTAGCTGTTAACATCCAAATGAGCTTTTTTTGGAATTAGACCCACATGTTAGGTCATGCAGTTAGGGTTCGACTTCAGACTTCAGGCTTGCTAATAACAGAGAACTCCATGCCACGTTTGTTGAGGCGATCAATCAGTTTTGTTTTAGAGAAAGCAGCTCCTGGAGAATATACACCACCTCTGTTAAAGAAAATCAAATGAAAAAAAAACATTAGCGGCACAGTGACGGAGTAATACTTTCATAAAGATCTGTTTCCCTGCCTAGAAAAGAAAAAGCCACTTTGTCCCACAGGAGAGAGCATATGAGGAACTTGGCAAGCTGGATATAGTCATAGGTTCATTTCTGCATCCAGAAAACTTCACAGAAACCTTGCCATTGTCCGATAAGACAGAAACTAATGCAACAGATGCTGCAATAGTGGAACTAAAAAACTATGTCTTCATCCTTTCAAATTGGAAGGCAGATGAAGGAGTAACCAGTTTTAAAACAAGTTGCAGTGAAGTATCACCCCCTTGCATAGCAAGAATTCTGTTTAATAGTGCTTTCATTTAGGTGAGGTAACACAAAAGTCCAAAGGGTTAAGATCTGTATTTTCAAAGAAGAACATGTGCACAGTAACTTGAAGTTAGCTCATGCTGCTCTGCACAGGGAAATACTTACTGCGCAGGCAGACAAGCTGCATCTTCCAGCAGAGCCACCGCTGCTTGAACCATTGCAATTGGTGTAGCAATATAGCCAGGCTCTGGCCAAAAAAAAAAAAAAAGAAAAAGATTTATACAGAGTGTTGAAATGTAGGAGTCATAATCCTAACTTGCTCTTTCTTACATATTGCATGTTGAAGAATCATCTTATCTTTGGTAATTACACAGCCATCCCCATTTGAGAAAAATGTTTCTGCCTGGCAATCATCCCCATTAGCTGTGGAAGTCCTTAAGATCCAATCTGGACAAATGCCTGTTTCAAATACAGGCCTATGACCACACAACAATCATAAGTAAGTGATCACCTCACACTGTCAGAAGCCTCTCCGTTGCAACAAAAGCTTTGCATCAGAAAGGCTGAACTCAAGCACAGGATAGGCAAGACTGCCACATTCAGTTACATATCCAGATACTTAAAGCAGCTATGCTTCATTAACTCCTTTCTGAACATCCATTCCTTCTTTGTCTCCAGAACTTCAGGTGATCTCCCCCTTCAAAAGGATGAGCTGAACACAAGTGTGATACAGCTAGAAATGAGATTTTTATCAGATCAGTTTAGGGTCACTCACAGGGGACTGGTAACAAACAGACAGGTAATAAGCCCAGATTGCAATAACTGAAGAGTACCCTTAAGACACTCTCCCTTTACTGCTCCACTCTGAGAAAATGAAAATTAATATGGGGGGGAAGCAGAAGGGAAGAGCATGACAAGAATACACACTAGTTAGCTACTTCAAAACAAGTCACAGTCCATGCTAGTATCTAAGGTAATACTCTCAAGGCAGCAGCCAGCTGACTTTTGTCTATGTTGCAATTGCTCCACTAGGGAGAAGGGAATGGCCCTGGTAGCAGCTTAAAGCCGTATCAGGAATAGGAAATGTGATACAGAAGCAGTTTCCTACTACTAACATACTTACCTGGTCCTTTCACTTGGGTGCAGATCTTTACATTTGGTTTGCCTTTCTGGGGATCTTGCCCCTCACTGTATCCCTCACCAAAAAACGTCATTGTAAAGGAGGTTTCATCCATCTGTAGTGGACAAGACAAGAAGTGCATTCACCAACACCATAGCTGACTTCTGTCACACAACCAGAAGTAATAATGTAAATGCCAAGTACTGTAACACATCTAAAAGTGAGACTGGTTCTTTTGAGTTATTGCTAGAAAGGTACAATCTGATTTAAATAATGTGGATATACTAATCACTTTTCCTTTGCTGGAACTATTATTCTTTCTAAAGTTCGTTTATTTTCTCAGCACTGGGTTTTTTGCTACTCAGTCTCCCTCTGCCGTCACCTTTGATATTTTGCGTACTGTGAGCCATCCAAGTAAGTAAAACAGGCCCAGCTATATGATCCATTTTTGTTATATGGGTTTCATATACTTTGATATCTAATGACAGGAGGCATGACTATTTAAATATGCAAAGCTAGGTGAACAGGTGTACAGAATGTATTTAGAAACAATTAATTTCTCTCAGACTAAGTGGTGGGCTCCAGATTACTATTCCACTAGTAGCGTAACTTACAGATTTACTCATTAACCTGGATGGAGGACAGATAGTTACCTGTTTCTGTGTTGGTCCTTTCTTTGAGAAACGTCCAGCAGAGAAAAATTCTGGGTACTATATAATAGGAGAGGAAAAAAAAAGACCAACACTAAACTAAAGGAAAAATCTCGAACCACTGAAGTCTTTTGTGTTTTAAACACTTACTTTTATCAGAAGTTTTCTTCCAAAGCTAAATTTCACAAGAAGAAGAAACAAGATGCCTGCCAACATCAGCTTCATAACAGAGCCAAGACCACCTACGTTTGCATAAGCAGCATACTGTACCTATGGCAAAAACAAATTTGCAGTGACAGATTGCATTCAAATTTTTTACACTGATTCATTTCTAAAATTAATTCATCCCAAAATTAGGATGCAGTTTTTTTCATACAGTACATAGCTATTTGAAGAGGACCTTAAACAAGAATCTCAGTTCTAAACGACTCTTTGAATAATGTTTCACTTTATAATTCATAGCAAGAAGAGGATACAGCTATAGAACAGAAATGGAGTATGGTAAACAAGAGCGGAAAACTTTATAGAAAGACATCTTCTGGGATCTGATTTCAGGCTTGTTTTAAGCTATACTTCCTTTCCTCCTCTTTATGCTTTAGTTTAAGAGAAACTGAGACCTTATTTCAGAATTCTGGAGTAGTGATGGCACGCCTTTCTTATTAACAGCCCCAAGTATATTTTTAGAGCGCTGTTTGCCATCTATGTCTTAATTGGTGCTGCTGATTCTGTACAGCTCCTCTAGATGTCCCTAGTACTGGTCTCCTCTCAGGAAACTATGGCAAACAAAAACTAAACATCCTATTTTCCACCAGCAGTGATGTTCTTCTCTTCATGTTGCCTGTACTCTGCATGCCAGAGACCCAAGCATCAAAGAGTCCAGATACAAACCAGGAGCACATAACCTCTTTGCCACAATGTTTATTAAACTACACTGACCTGACATACTGTTACACAGACTGCGATTATGATGCCCTTAAAAGCTCCACAGGTATCACCAAAAAACTTCCGCACAAGTACAGAATTAAATGTGTTTTCTTCCTGCACTTTTTAAAAAAGTGCACACAACACAGGAAACATATCTGAATATTTTACTGTATATTCATTAAAAATATTGCATTACATAACTTATTTTTACTTCAATTCAGTCATGCAGTTACCTGTGGCACAGAGCAACCACTTAGATGTCCGACGTAATTATTTTCATTTTTTCATGTAAACTACTGTATACACAAGAACTGCAGAAATTACTCGCAGTTTTCCAGGATTCAGTGGTATAAAAATGGTTGATGGCTATACCTCGTAGGTTCTTCTGAGAACAAAACCAGTTATCAGCACTGATTTTGAACATCAGGACAGGACAAGAAAGGCTTCAAATCCTGCTTCCTATTGTGACTATTGGCAGCAGAAGTGACAGGCCAGTTTAGCTGTTTAAAAATGAAATGCTATTCAAGCTCTCCATGGTATAAAATGAACATACAGCTAAAGAAAGCTCAACATACAAATGATCAACTGCAGTCACCTGAAAACTAAGCATATCCAAGTCTGATAAATCCTGAGAATATCCTCCAGTGCTTCCACAAAAAATCTGAGTGTAAAAATTCTGGTAATCCTCTGATCTGTACGGAATTCTGATTCGGCACATCAAACATTAAAATAAAACCCTCAGACTATACATCATGGATCATACACAACATACATACATTTTGAATTGTGTTCAGGAGCAAACATATAGCCACACAACACGATAAAGATGCCTTATTTGACACAGTTCATTGTTATGATTGACTGCATGCCATGCATCTGCTAAAGCAAGTTAGTCCAGAGATGATAAGCGACATGACTGACTTGAAAGGCTACCCGAGGTGCAAAATTACTTATGGTCGGTATAAGAATGCTGTATTACACTGTAAGATGCATTTACTAAAATACCTCAGTGCTTAACACAACTCTGTTGTCCTTGTTTGGGCAAACGCTATGGCAAAACAAAGCCCTGAGCCTTCAGCTTTGTGGGCCTATGCTACATTGCCATTCCCTAAAACTGTGAAGCCTGCCTTTCGCACATTGCTGTGCCCAAGGCTTCCATCCCCTACAAGCGCCTACCTAGAAATCAAACTGCATGAAAACACTACAAAAGCAAGAGACTCTTAGGAACCATCATGCTAGCAGCAAAAAGCAAACTCATCAAGTAGCATATTAGGTACAATTAAACAAACTAGAGCATCTGAAAGAACCTGGACCACATCAGGTCAAGCAACTTCCAAAAGGTGATCAATAGAACAAGCCTCCTTCCTAACAGGAGCAAAAGCACGTTGCACCTCATTATTATCTATCTAACGACAGAAACCCTGCTACACAGATCCTGCACAAGGAATTGTTACTACATAAAGGAAGGAAGCCCTGAAAATGATAATGAAGATACAGTATACTAATAACAGTAACTTACAGGCGTTTCCTGCAACTGTGTGTGCAAATAACGCTGAGACCGTTTCACAACAGAAACGTCAGATCCCATGAACGGAATGGAATACTCTTTGAATTCCTGACTGTAAAACACAAGTCCTCTGCAAACAGAAAAAAACATTCAGAAACGATGTTCAAATGTTCATGCAAACAGAAAAAGATGTTCATAACGACACTACCAATACTGGCTTTCTCGCAAGCATTTTTAAGGCATTATCTCTTTTCACTAAGTTTAAGCAAAGAAAGACAGTGATTCCAGTTTATTCCTGACTCAACTCAAAATCCACACACTGTAGCCACGATGAACCCGGTACTGAAAAGAACATTTTCCTCCCATTTGGTTTTCCCTTTCTACTGACCACTTCTGAAATCAAACTCAAAAATTTGCTGTATCTCTAAAAGGCTTTTAGAACAAGAAGCTCTGAGAGCCAGTAAATACTAATGCATATTCTTTTTCAGTAAAATATAAGTGTATATGTTCAGGTTTACTAATTTGTTTATCTAATAGCATTGAAGATATGTGTGCATGTTTTACTCGCATCTTAAATGCATCTCTTTAGTACTTGGTAGTATGTATCATAACATATATAATAAATACTAGAACTGTTAGAAGACCACATGTTTGACATCTTAAGATTCTTATACCTTCTTTTAAGTTTTGCACCAACTACAGGAACAGGGGTATATCCTATCTGTTTTCGAAGCTTCTTCAGATTGTCTTGATCTGAAAGGCCATAAACAGCTGACTTCCAGGTCCCATCATGTATACAAGATCCCTGGTGAAATAGTGAAACAGTAATTAATTCAGTATCTAAAGGTTTGAGGTACTGTTTTAATAGTGAGCTGACACAAGGAATTATTACTGCTATGATAACGTCTCATGATTGTATGCACTACCAACTGTACCAAGAAACCCAACCAACCAAAGAAAAACCCAGCCAAACACTGGGATTGCTGGCAACACTTGATATCTGTTATAGTTTACCTGTATATGGATCCTTCCCACATCTCTCTGCAAATAAATCATCTGCAGAAACTAATCAATTCTTGAAACAGCTTAACACAACTAATTTCACGCAGACAGCCCATGCTAATGAGCCTTACAAACAGCTGTTTGCTTGGGATACTTTTACCACCTTCTTTAAAAAAACAAACAAACAAACAAAAAAAACCAAAAAACAAAAAACAGTCCTTAGACTTATCAAAGAGCTGCCAGTTTGTTCCTTGGTCTGAATTAATGAAATCATAGTTCTTCAAAGGGGCTACAGGTGTGTTATCACAAATACCTTTGAGTTTCTAAGACAGTGTAAAGCAACTAACCTCAGGTCCAGATTTCACTGTCAAGAAACTTTCGACGGCCGTTAAGGTACCTTTAACAGAGTAGAAAATATTGCTTGGGATACAGAGTCATACTAGTTCACAGAGTACACTCTGACAGACTCATCTGACAGAGCACCGACATCACTAGTTGAAGAGGCAGAATCAAATCTTTATCTTCAACTGAAATAAACTAAGATTAAGTACCATGGCTATTTTAGTTATCAAATTTCATAAGCAAAGTATTTCAGTAAGGGTCATTAATATTATCTTTACTCATTAAATATTGCATTTTTTAAATCTAGTTAATGAGAACAATCAATGAAAAAAATCAGTGAAAAAAAAAAGAAAAAAAGAGTATCAAGAGCCATATTTAGTTTTTTTCCAAGTTTTGAAATAAATGATGAAGCCAGCTGTGAAAAGGTACACAAACTTAGGGAGTTTGGTAGACCTTACTACAAAAATCAACGTATCCCAACATTTTTCGTCTTATGCTTTGCAAAGGACGCTCAGTTGTAACGCACAGCTAAACAAAACTCCTCAAAATTCTGCTTTCTTTCGCTTTGCTCAGCTCCTTCTGCGATTAAAGAACTGTTCCTGAAAGGGCAAATTTAAATGTAACAAACTAGACAGAAAGGTGGTAATACCAGAAAGTTAAGAAAGAGATAAGAGACATCTTTACTCAAAATAAGCATCAGACGTCAAATTATAAAAACCCACAAACAATCATATACTTATTTCCCTGCCTCTTCTCCCTCAAACCAGATTTTCCTACAGATTAAGTTTCAATAAACTGAAAATTGATACACTCCAATGAAAAGCAATCCTACTTAATAACAGTTTTAATAGTACATATATGGAGAGTCATACATTTGGGTACTCTTACTGGTCCTTCCAATGGAAAGTCAGAAGGAGAGGCATTTGGTGCGATCTACAACCTGTGCTCGCAGTACAAAAAGACGACTTACGAAACCTGATTACTCACTAATCTGCATTCCCTTTCCCCTAGCCCTCCTCTGTCCCCCCTGCCTCCTCCTCACAAAATCCTCACCCCACAGGAGGCAGCACGCTGAGGCTTGCCAAGGGATGCCTACATGCCGACTGAACCGCCCATGTCTGACAAGCGAAGGTTCTGTTCTCTCAGTGACTGATATTAATTTGAATCCCTCCTCCATCTAATCACCAATTTCCTCAAATCTAATACAAATGTGATTTCCTTTCAAATTTTCATGTATCAGATCTGGCTGAAACTGGTAAACTGGTAAAGAGAGGCAGAAAGAGAGTGAAAGCGTTCCCACACAAGACTCCCACACAAGCTTTAGAAAACCAGATGAGAAACAACCTAGGTTTCTTTTTCAGCATAAGGTCAGGCTTAAATAAGTCACCTTTCAACTTGTCTCTGGTGTACAGTACTCCCATATCTGCTGGTATAGAGTCAAAGCCACAGCTTCCAATAACATATACTCCCTTTTCTGCAGCTTTTTCATTGTATTTCAGGTACATTCCTGCCAGAAACTAAAAAAAAAAAAAAAAAAAATCACAGCAAGTATTTTAAGCAGAACCCCATATTTGGCAATATCCAATATTAACCATCAGCACTTTACTTTATCACAATACTATGCATACTTCAAACAATTTACAAGCATCTCTGAGGCAGAAACATGTTCCTCCTACATTATGGTACGGACACCTCACAACAGTGCAAAAAATTGTGATCTATACAAAATTCCTACATGAAATCACAGCCAAGACTGACCGTAGAATTCCTAAGTTTTTGATTTCCAGAGGGTTTCCGGGCAGCTCTTGTTTAAAAGTAATAAAGCCATACAAATAATACATGCTGAAATTAATACATGTTAAAGTCAGTGCATCTTAAAATTGCAGATCAGGAGACAGGATTTGTCTTCATGTCCAAAAGTATTAACAACAACATGAAACATACTAACCAGACTCCTTCTCTAGGTCCCTAACATAAGGTAGTATTTTTCTGATGTCACATACCTGAGGTTCCCCACTGATGTCAATGCAGCTTGCACCATTTTCAACGCAAGCTTTTATCACAGGTTCTCCAAAAAATCTATACTACAGAAGGAAAAAACACCACACGTAACAAAAACTAAACAAAACCACAACACAATCCACCCGATTTGCTTTACCTATCGTCTCTACAACAGCAATAAACATCGGAGAGCTAGTGCTTTCTAAATGGGGCAAATATAACTGTACTTCTTTTGCGGGGGGACTGGGGGCAGGAGAGGGGAGAGGAGGAACAGTGCAGGGAACTAAAGCACTAATAACTGAGTTCAGTGCACAAAGTACTCAGCCGCATTTTTCCCAGAAGATCAACAAGGACAATTTGATATACCTTATCTCGATTTATGGTTCTTGCATTAGTACGATCTGCATATTCTCGGTAATTTTGCAGATGTTGACATGACCTAGCTGCAGCTCTTGCACTTCGATCCACTCTGCACGAGCTGCAGATTTTGCCATTTTTTAAAGGGGCCACGAATTTAAAACGAAAAGTCTCCAGGGGAAGCTTTTTAGCTCTCTCTTCACCCCTAAGCACACTTCAAACAGAACATTTTGGCCAAAACCACGCTGCTCTCCTCTTTTCCATTAGTTTCTCCTGCCGCCTGCGAAAGATTAAAGCCCGCCCGCTGCACTGCTGCGCAGCTTTCCGGGACGTGAATCATCAAACTCCCGCCGCCCCCACTCACCGGGCCCACGCAGTCGAGCACCAGCCGGGTCTGCCTCGCCATGGCGGCCAGCGAGCCCTCGTCGCCCCCGTCGCCACGCAGCCACCCCACCCCC